GGTTAGGGCCGTCTTGAGCGATGCTGTTACCTTGGTTAGGGGTGATCGATTCTATACACTTGTATGCTCGCCCTTGTTTCTCCATGTCCATGCTTGCCCAGAATGGCCGCAATGGTAGCAGCTCCTTGGCTAACTCGACTCTAAACAGGACTGGACGCCCGCCACAATGACGAACTGGGGGTTCGATATTATCAAGCCAGACAAACCGCAGGACAAGCTCGCTCGCGGCGGTAAGATGCACCATCTGCTTGACATCGCCTTCCCCAAGTTCTACAAAGACAACTCCGTCTGGAAGCTGTTTCCTTTCACCACTCCCGGCGAGTTAAAACGCATCTTTGAGAAGCAAGGGGTTGCGGGGAAGTATGACTTCTCGAGCCCGCTATAGGACAAATCTCTTGATGATGCGGTATCTGAATTCAAGACAAACGAAGTACTTGTATTGGAGGTGCGACGTCGAGTGGAACATAGCGGGCGCTACACTCATCAGTACTTGAAGGATCATGCGCTATACGTGGAGACTGAGGAGCAAGAATGGCTTGCTTAGTCAAAAAGCATTAAAAGAAAAATGAGGATGGACATAGTAGTATTGTAACCCTGCACAGACTGTAACTACTTATCCTCCTCCTATTATAGTATTAAATATAAGTTATATTTCATTTATTAATTATATAACTATATAATATACTTATTATTAAATATTTTATCCTATTTACTAATATAAACACATATATTTATCCCTTAGGAATCTCCCTACTCTATAATAATAACCTAAGATTAAGGGAACAAACTATTACAATAATTATTAAGGAAAAGTAATTAATTTTATAATTAATAATTATTTTATATATTAAGCATATAATATTTAAATATAAAAATAGTTATTTTTTAATAGTATATAGTAGTTAAAGTTTAATTATTAATTTAAGTATAATAAGGGTTATAACTTATATTATTATTTATATAAATTATAATTAAGTGCTAACTAATATACTTTTTAATTAATAATTTTTTATTAGTGTATTTAATTAAGTTAATATTAAAGTAGTTTAGGTAGATTTAGACAAGGCATTAGTGCAGCAGGCTAATTAGTATATCTTCTGCTGGGACTAGCGTGGCCACTGAGACATGCGGCCAGGTTAATCCGTCGAAATCAAGATTTACAACCTGGGAATACTGGATCTGTTTAAAGGTTGCTTGAATCGTCCTAGCATCTGCATTACTAATAGACGTGTCGACGGTAAAAGTTGGTCTTGGATCTGCCACATCATTATTGGGCTGAATTCGTATATTTTCTCCCGCCCTGAATGGTGGCACGACAATGTCGCACTGCACATCCGAGATCCAGAATCTGGCCGTCATCAAGGCTGCATCGGCATTTTGAACTGCAGTCGACCTACTGGTCGGACCCAAGGACTTGCCCTCAAGGAATGCGATATTGGAAATTCCGTCGCTATCACTTTGTTTTGCAGAAGAAGGAGCAGTGGATACTTCGAAAGTGACCATGCTCACGATTGTTTTTCCCCTATTGGCGTTCACAAGCACAGTATTCGGATTGTTTAAAATTGCCTGGGTAATAGTCCCATTCGTGACGAATGGGTTAAGATCTTGTGGTAGTCGTGAGGTATTCATGTTGGTGACATTCATGGCTGGAAACTGGTTATTAAGCCGGCCGTTGGGTCTGGCAATTGGGAACGGCGTAATATCCACAATGTCATTAACTGCAGGATTTCCATTTTGGATTCTCGTGGTAGGTGCTAGACACTGGGCGTTGATAGTGGTGCCATGAGGAATAGACGCCATGCGTGCAAGCGATTCAGCATTGTTGTTGTCAGCTGGTACTTTTATCCACAATCCTGGTTCGAAGTGAATGTCGCGAGGTGTATCGTCGGCTCTGCCAGATTTGGGATTTGTTACATCGCGGACAACTTGCAGGTAGGACACGCCGCTGAGTATAAGGTCTTTTTGCTCCTTGAGTCCACGGTTAGGTATACTGCCCAGGTTGTCGGTGAAAGTCATCTCTTCTGTAGTGAGATTGAGCTCTAAGATGCTCTCATTTGGAAATACTGGATCTGGCTTGTTGTTTCCACCTGCCGGAACTGGGTTCGGGAACGTATTGCTCCCACTACTGGGGCGCCATATTGTATTGAAACCATTCCCAATAAATGTTCCGCGGAAGTTTGAAAGAACATCTAGAGCCTGCGGTGGTGTAGGTCTGAGCGTCGCATCAACCGACTGAAGATTGACTCTGACTGCAAGGCTTATAGCTGGCCTTTGTGGAGGGTTAGCCATGATGGGCGCGCTCGATATTGATTACTTGAAACAATATTCGTCTTTGTGTTAATAGAGTTATCAGAAAGTGAGGAAAATGCGTGAGAAAGGGGGCTATTTGAGAGTTCTTGGAGGACGGAATATAGTGGCATTAAATTGAACGGGTATAGATGGTAGAGACTTCTTTTATAATGGTATGGAACCGGCTATTTTGACAAAGTTCACTTTTCTTTTGTTCTCTTACAGTGTATTCTGTCAAATTTCACAGAATCTCATGCTGCTCATCTTGCCAAGGGGGGCTTGTCTACATGGCGCGTAGGTTTCAAGCTTCGTATCGAAGCTGAATTTTAGGCTCCTCCATAGTCTATCACTTATGTCATATATACTTTACTGAAAAAACTCTATTTGAACGTTTCACAGAGATTGCTATAGGATATCCAAAAGTAAGGTAGGTGATAAGGCAACCATAATAGACTCATACAAATTTTGTCTCTTGTAGACTATGGTAGCAGATAGTGTTCTTTGGATCTGTAAATAAAGCTTGTGCGTTATGTTTCTAAGGAACTAAAGAAAAAAGTTCAAGTATGGGAATGAAGTTGGTCCTCCTCGCCAACTATTAGGGTTAAATGAAATTGTAGATGAAAATTGAAAAACCAACTGGGCCTGCATCTCAAGTGCATGACGAATGACTAGTTCTAAGTACCCAGTAATATAAACTGTACTGAGTTGGAATGTTTTTAAACATATAACAGATACAAATAGATAGTTTGAGCTTTATTGAAAGTATGATTAGTCTGTTTGTGGCGTAAATTTGCGGCTTTGGAAGGAGTAGTGGGTTAGCTATAAGACCAGGCAAAGGGTGAATGAAGGTTGCCTAAAAGAAAGTTGGACTTGCCCTTGTTGTTCTATATTGATGTAAATGGCTAATATTACAGGATATAGATCTTTTAACTACAAAAATATAGGGTCAGATGAAAAAAAAAGCTAATTTTCCGGCTATCGCAGCGGCTGGAAGAGTGCTGCTTTCTGGCATGAAGGTGGAATGCCTGGTATGTTGTTAATGCCTAAGTTGCTTCAGTAATGGTACAAAATTACGAAAAGTGCCGCCGGCAGCAAGCGTACAACTTTAAGGCGGCCCAATTAAAACTGCAGAATAGCTTGTATAGAGAGTGAAATCAGTTTCAGTTGGCGTGTAACTGACTAAAACTTTTGTACTGGCGATCCTTTTTCTGATTCAGCCAATGCTGCAGAAATCGTGGCGTGATCATCCGCCAACTTCGAATCTAAATATGCCGGAAGACTGACAAAAGGATACTTGTTTTCTTTGTTTTTTAACTTTTTAAGGGCACTTTTGCCCTGGGAACATGTTGATTGAGGAAGAGCCTGGAGTAGACTCTGTGGGCCATGTATTGGAATCGTGCGTGAGCCGCATAACAAGCGGCCTTTGGCAATTCGGTCAAGAGCCGGATGCATCTCATTGGTGCCAACAAGTTGGTTTGGCCGGCTATCATTGAGCTACAGTTGTTTCTGATGCTTTGATGGCGTATCACAAGGTTTTGAGGGCATTCCTGTTGGAAAAATGGCTCTATGGTAACCTTGCAAATGTGCTTATTTAACTTTACGAAGTAAACTATACTTTAAACCTAATATACCTTTTAATTTGGCCCAACTGTTTTGCATGAGTTGAAATATACTGCCACGCAACCTTCTTAACGAAATACAGCTAATATTGATTTAGGTTGCTAAAGTGGTTTCCCTTGTAGTAAGCCATACGACCTAACTTTCGGATATTATATCCACCATCCGAAAGCTATGCTTTGCTGTCAATGTCTTGCCTTTATTGTAGTAAGCTGTTATATATTGCTCTCAATGGTATCATCGTCCTGGGTCTTTTATTTAATAATGATCCTGCTTTGATCAACTTTCTTCGGGTCGTCGCTCCGGAAAACTTCTCTGATGAAATCCACCGGCCTGCTCATCAGGCCTCGCAGCAGCGTAGTTGCGCCCGCAGCCTCTCCGGGCTGGCTATATGGAGCATCTCCGACCTTGCGTTTAGCTCACTGCCCCTACTATCAATCCATCCAATGCCGCAAGCATGTTGTTGGTTATCCTGTAATGGTCTATGGACATGGACCGTAAACATGAGCCATCAGCAGATCCAACATTAATTCACCCGTTTCCCACCCGAGGCAGAAGTGAAGTTTGTTTATGTTTAGGCCGTCTTGGTGCTGCCGGTGGCATTGGCCAGCCTCTGTCTCTGCTGCTCAAGCTCAACACCCGCGTTACCGAGCTTGCTCTGTACGATATCCGCGGCGGACCCGGTAAGTCACCCATTGCGTGGCCCTCGTGCGCCAATTTCATATAAACCTCGCAAATTTTGTCTCGAATTTGCTGCTGCTACTACTGCTGCTACTGTCCATTGGCTAACGAGACTCCCTCGTCTAGGTGTTGCTGCCGACATCTCCCACGTCAACACAAAGTCCCTCGTCAAGGGCTATGATGCCACCCCCAGCGGCCTCGTATTTAGCAGCAGATGTGGAAACAATCGACCTCCGGGGGTAGAAGTGGGAGGAACATCTATTGTAAGGAACCTAACCTTCGCTGACGAGTCAGGACCCTGGGGTTTAATACGTAGAAGTGACAGACCAAATGGCCCCCCTCTGAGAGACTAGACTGATTAAACTAGAACAACTTTCCTCTATATATTCTTAAATATGGTAAACAAAATGCTAGCCCCCAGCTCCTACCGTCTTATCATTATTATAAGGCTTTGTGTATTTAGATACTTTGTAGACGTTGATAAGAAAAAAGTAAAATTAATAAAGTATTTAAATAACTGGCGCAAGTATATACAGATTAAACCACCACCGATTCTCCATATATTTATTTATTTATTCATTCATTTATTTATTTTTGTTTTATTATCAACATCTACTTCGTAAGCTAGATACATATAAAGCCACGTCTGGGCAATAGGATAGTTGAAGCCCCGGCCCAAACCACTAAACCACCCCGGTCAAATAAACACATCACATCAATTTCAAGCACTGTTAAACAGCTGCCCATCTTCTCGTCAACTAGACTCGCTTCCTGTATGCTTACAGTATAACTAGTAAACCTTATTCGCTCATGCGCCATTTCCCTCCGTAGTGACATCCTTTGACACAGTTCCATCCCTGTCCGCCTTCTCCTTAACGCTTTTCCATTCTATTAGTAGAGACCCCACCACTGTTGCACATGCACATGCTAGGCTGACATAAAACGTCTGTACCACAGCATCGTTATAAGCGCGAATGACGCCGGGTAGGAATTTCGGTTCGATGACGTTCCTCAGAGCTGTTGCACCAGTGTTGGTAACTATTGTCGGATCCAACCCGGCAGCAAACTTGCGAACACCTTGTCCCAGTGCATGATTGAACACGCTCTGGCCAGCGCTCAGAAACACTGAACCGCCAATGGACTGCGAGAATACCATGACTGCGCTTCCAATAGCGACATCGGTCAGAGGAAGTACAGTTTGGGCAGCTACCATAGTTTGCTGTCTCCCTAACCCGCTGCCAATTCCGATTAAAGCCTGGTAGCCGATCCACTGCGATGATGGCGTGTCGACCTTAAATGTCGTGAGCAACCCAACACCAACACTGCTCAGAATTGTGGACAAAATCATGAACGGCGTGTAGTATCCCAGGGCCGTCACGGCGCCACCGGCAAGTAGCGATGCGATAATGACTCCTAAAATCAGAGGCAAGTTATGAATACCGCTATCAACGGCATTCTGGCCCTGGACACCTTGAAACCAAACAGGCAACTTGAGGTAGTTAGCATACTCTCCTGCATGATAACTTACTCAAGAGTACTTACATAGAACACTAGCAGGAAAAATGATCCTCCGGTCATTGCTGAATAGATGGAGCCCGACCATATGCTTCGCTGGAGGAAGATCCTTGGCGGAATAGTGGCATCCTCTCCCATCCAACATTGGCTGACGCAAAATGCAATGAAAAGCAAACCTGATAGGATAAACAGAACAATTATGCGGGCATCCCCCCATGAAAATTGGAGCCACCCCATTGCAGTGCTAACAGCAAGCATATAACGCAGGGTAGAAAGATGAGAGTGCCTGCGATGTCGATGTTCTTTGCATGGTTCCTCCACCCTTTGATGCCGTTTGCTTGGCGTTGGGGTGGTGGCGTAAAGAAACATATTATACCAAGAATAGTCAACCCACCAATAGGAAGGTTAATGTAAAAACACCATCTCCAAGACACTCGATCTGTAAATGCACCACCTATCAGTGGTCCAACGACAGAAGAAACCCCCCACATAGCACCAATGATACCTGTGTAAAGAGGCCGTTGTCTCAGAGGCACGGAATGGGCTATTATGATAAGTGACCCTGAAAAAATACCGGCGCAGCCAAGACCAGCGATAGCACGGCCGATAATTAGTGCCGTGGAGTTGGGAGCAACGCCGCATATGAGGGAGCCCAATTCAAAAAGCCCTACGGCAATGAGAAATGTCCACTTCAAAGAAAAAACCTTATAAATTTTCCCAAAGAGTAACTGAAAGGCGGACGTTGTTAAGAGGTATCTGTATACTTTGTTAACGATCGAAGACAATCTTTAGCTAGCTAAACGGGGATATACTTACGATGCACCATACCATGAAACATCGTCAAGGGCCTTGAACTGCTCCGTTATTTTGGGAATGGCCGTGGCCACAATTGTCTGATCCTATTGTAGATATCTTATCAGCAATGGTCTGGTACGTGTCAATTCGCTGATCTTACCAGTCCCACCAAGAATACCACCAAGCAAAGCGACAGAGTAATGAAAATGAGATTGACCTTCGTCGGATACTCAATGTTCTTGCTGGTAATCTGGTTATTGGTGCCCTCAGCGCTTGGTTGAGTCTCATCGTGCTTTTCTTCCACTAGTGTTCCGTCCGATATAGTATAGGTTTGTACCTTTTCGGGCCGCATCTGCAGGTCCTGCAACTCGGTCAAGCGCTGATCACTGTCCATATTCAGTAACCCTTAAAACTCGGTTCGCAAAGCGATATCTGCTATTATGTGGTTATAGAAACGATAGCGGTAGGGAACCATTGCTACATAAGAGGATCCCTCTTCACAAGCCCTTAGTAATGTCAATATGCTCCCATACTTCGTGCTGGAGAATGTCCCGTACTTGGTTCTGTACCTTCAGCCCCAGGGGAACGTTAATTAACTCTTCTTCTAAATTTCCAGGATACGATAACTCCGAATTGTAAAGGCTATTAAGCATTTCCAAAGCCGGCGGTATCGCTTCTTACTGCCAACCTTAGAGACAAGAACAAATGGCTTCCGACTACAAGTTTGATCTGTGCTCTGGAGCCAGCATAGTATGTGGCGGCTGGTGTTCCGGACGGTTTCCTCACATCTGTCAAGCAGGCAATCCAATGCGCCACTCAAGCAACAAACCCAGGGGAAAGCGCCTCTGGTGGGCCACACAGTGGCATGTTCTCTCTTCGCCAGGGATAATGGATCAGTCTTCCCAAAGAAGGGACAGTCAAGAAACACATAGGAAGCCTCGAACGCATTATCCTAAATAAATATGAAGGTGGCAAAAGGAATATGCTTTTTAATATATATTATTATATATTATTATATATTGGAAATTATTTAATTGGAATGGTCGCGCATGCAATAATACTATATTACCTCTAATAACAGCTCGAGTTTAAAACTCATATAAATCTTTTAAGAGAAATCCCAAGCGAGATTTAAGGATTACAATAACTTAACTCTAAGGGCAACTGAATTACTGTATAAGAGCACGAGTAAAAAGTGCTTAACGATATAAACCACTGTCTTTCTCTATAAAATAAAGCAAGTGACTTGGAATGAAATTTTATCTACATTCATAGCCTTCAATATTAAACTCTTAATCTGCGTTTGTCAGTTCTGCCAAATCACTGTCTTCTGATTAAGTCTCATTTTTGGATCGCTAGTTCAATGCCAAATAAAACAGCGGAGATTACGCTTATGCCAGCGTGACGGCACAGTGTTTGTGAATTTCCATCAAATCCCGAAATCCACACAGGTGGCAAAGTGGCTTCTTTTCCAGTGCAACGGTTTGGGAAAGTTGAGGAAATTTCACCTACACAATGTTGCTTGGCTGCTGACTTGTGACGTGTAGCCCAGCTCGGCGATGAATGGGCCCCATCACGAGAAATGCCTGCAGAAGAAAAGCCTAGAATTGGTAATGGGACCCGTTCCTAGAAATTAGAATCAAGGGTAGAGTGGCAAAATGGTGATTGGTAGAGAAACAGGAATGGGCCCCGTTTAGGAACACAATTCTAGAGTGAATTTGTATGGAGTATAGTTTAGGCTATGAGTTTTTCCAGCTCGCGAAGTAAGCAATAGCAGCGAGTATCATCCTCATAGTCTATGCCGCATGCTAGTATAGTACTCGCAGAGAAAGCAATTGAAGAAAATTCACACTTAATGTCCTTTATACCACTTTTCAGCAGCCGTTTACCTGACACAGCATTCCATGCTCGTACTCTGTAACCCGATGCGGAGGCAAGGACTTGGCCGGTGGGCGAGAAGTCGATCATATTAATTGAACCGCTATGACCCTCGAGCGTCAATAAAGGTTCGCCCGACGCAGTATCCCATACTCGTATTGTGTCATCATCCGACCCCGAGGCTAGATTTTGCCGGTAGGCGAGAAGGCGATCGTATTAATTGAACCGCTATGACCCTCGAGCGTCAATAAAGGTTCGCCCGACGCAGTATCCCATACTCGTATTGTGTCATCATCCGACCCCGAGGCTAGCATTTTGCCGGTGGGCGAGAAAGCAATCGTATTAATTGAACCGCTATGACCTCGTAGTTTTTTCGGTCGCTCATATGTTGTAGTTGCCCATAGTTGTACGCTACCATCAGTAGACCCTGACGCTAGCAATTTACTATCAGAGGAGAAGACAAGAGTCTTAACATGGTCAGAGCAGTCCAGTATCTGCTGGCATGCATTTGTTGTAAGATCCCATAACCATATTTTGTGATAATATAGGAATCCATCGGCAGTTGAGAGTGCACCATCAAAAGTTGAGAATGCAAGGGCATCGCTGTCGGGTCGAAAGGTAATGGTATTTATACAACCATCGTTCCGAACTTTCCGCTCATCTCCTTTCATTGCAATAGTCCATACATATACCTCGTTGCGTGATGCTGCGGCTACTAGTTTGCAATTGGGTGATAAGGCGGTTTGGGATATCGACCCATGGCTAACTCCTGTTGCGTATCAGCATTAGCCAGGGCCATGTTCGGGCACTAGAGTAGAGAGTTAAAGGTAATGTGCGGCTGGCTGAAGCGTACCAAAAGACATTATTCGAGATGTGGCTGGCGCGCTACCGCCTTCTTTTTGGAGGGGATTATCTCGTCCTTGTATCATCATCGTGCGTAACGTTTATTTTAGTAAGTAGCCTTTAGTTCTGCACTCTTTGCAAGTAGCTTTGATTAAAAGGCGACAGCGGAACGATAATGAGGCAGTGACAACCGCGATTATATATTAAAATGACGGTTAAGAGACGACCGTATGGTACGTGACGCGTTGCGCTTTTCAAACGCGTCGCGCTATTCAAATAAGTCATCTGGCCGCTGCCAAGAAAAGTGACACGTAGAGTGGGTCACCACATCTTCGCCACCAAATCAACAAGGCAAGCCAACAGGTTGAAATTCCTCGTTCCACATTACGCGCTACGATTTTGGAGTGTATCAACGCAGCAGGTCGTCGCCTACAATGGTAAGGCTTTGATCAACTAGTAGAGTTGATTTGTTTGACCCCTGCCTGACCCGCTATACCGGGGGTAGGGTTAGAGTTGGTTTTCGATAAAGCGCTTACCCGGGAGTTAATTAGTGTCTATCCTGCGCAATCTTTAGCGGCAATGCAATCCAAGCTCTGTAGGCAAAAGGAGGAGGTAATCTCCATAAAGCGTATAATCCAACCGCTTAGGTCTTGCTCTCCCGCTGTACAATCTAAGTTACCCATGTCTACCTATAATAGGTAGGCATAAGAACTGATTTGCATAATGGCACCAATTGTGAAACACTGCGAAAGACTTAAGAAGCTACCAAGCTATGACATCATCATGTATTAGTCAAAAGACGCCTCTTAAGTTGAGCTTGACTAACTTGGTTACATGCATGGATGATAAGGTATCGAAATAGGGTTATCTGATCTTGTTTCGCTTGTAACGCTACTCCCATGATCTATCTCTTTGCGTACTATTGCGAAGACGTCATTCGATAGAGCTTCTCCGTTGACACTGGGCCGCTGCCTACTGCACCAATGCCCCGTCGAGATCGGCCAAATGTTGGTGATTCCTGGGGCCCCACCCACTTACAAGGAACCCACCTCTTAGTGGTTTATTTAGAGCATACACCGCATCATATACTTTTTATCCGTGCACGCTACTGCGATGAAAAGGGGCTCCACCTACATAACTAGCAGCAATAAATATAGTTTGCCGTTATACGTTCTATCAACCTTGACTGTTAGGTGGCTGTCTACTTAAATACTATAAACTACCATGGACCTTTTTGAAAACCTTAAACCTCTGAACCTGTTTGCAGACCTTTCTGCTCATGCCTTAATCTGCTGTCATGAGAAATGCAAGCGCGCCATTGCTGTCGGAAGAGGGATGCCGACCTCGCATCTGGCAGATCACGGCATTCCATTATCTGAAAGAGAAGAGCTCACAAAATTACAATACGATATTGCTCAAATACAGTGCAATACCGTATACTATGCAGTGTAGCAAATTCCTAAACAATCCAGTGCAGTGTGGGGTTGAAAAAATATCGTATACGGTATTTGCACTATTTACTTCACTGCTTCAGGTTACCCCTCAGAAAGAAGCCCCTCATGAAAGAATTATATTTCCTGAAGAACTTACAGTAGCTAGGGAATGCTTCCTCCGGAATTGCGCCATATAACCAACCTTACCCCTCTTTCTCCCTCGCCCCAGCATAGCTTCGAATATATCCAATCAAACCAGACCGCCGCCGCCTTGGCTGTTCAGATCTCTCTTTTTACTTATTAGACGCCTAAGATGGCGATAGTGTAATTCTATAGATAGTTTGTTTCCTCCTCTCGTTTCGTTGCTGTGCTGTATCAAGCTCACTCTCCCCCTTCCTTTCTTCTTACTTGCAAAGGGGTAATGCGGCCGGCAGGCGCGCGGCTGCATATAATCAGGCTCTTATCTGGGCGCCTTATTGGCACAAGGGGTCTCACGTGACAACAATGTCTATACTACGTATCGTAACAGGCGATTGGTCCACGTAGTTTAATCCCGACAAACACACGTGTTTCATTTGCGTATGATGTGGCGCGCGCCATTCAGGCACCATTCAGCTTAGCAGGGCCTCGCCAATTCTTACCGGCCATAGCGAACCTCTGCTTGCTACCAATTTTTTCGTTACCATACAACTTGACTCGCATCGCACTTCCAGCCAAAGAGATTAAGCCTGTTAACGTTGACAAGTTAGTTTACCATATTATCTAGTATCGTTAGACCGGAAACTTGTACACTAATTATCACTCATTAGGGATGATAAGCCAACCGTTCAACATGGAGAAAACCAGTGGTCTAGTGGCTAGCAACAATGAAGACAACGAAAAGGAAGAGCTTCATAAACTGGTCGAGAGACAGAGAGATGCGATGACGAAGCTTGAAACACATGTCGACACACTATCAGCCTTACCGGAGAGCGAGAAAAAAGAGAAGCTCTGGGTAATGATTCAAATGGCGAATGATATTATCAGACGCATAAAGAGCAAGTCATCCCTCTTCATGAGGAAAACGTGCGTTGAACAATATGAAGTATCGGTAGATATGATAGGGAATACTATCAAAATGATCACGGATGACAACAGTGGTCTAGTGGCTAGCAACAATGAAGATGACGAAGAGGGCAAACTGCTAGGGGAAGAACTTGGTGAACATGCGAAAAAGCAGCTTATGGGAATAATGGATACGGCGGCATCTATCGTAAAGATCACGGATGACAGTGGAATTAGGGGAATTATCAATATGGTAACAGATGGCAACCATACACAACTTTCTGGATGGATGGATAATCAGACTCTGCAAACACTCTCTAGAGACTTCATAAATCCGAACGGCTTGGGCCGTAATAAGGATAGCTAAGTTAGTGTGTCTTAGGTCAATCCTAAGGAAGAAAGCGAGGTTCTTAATTTCTCTTTTGTGCAGTATTAAAGGCTCGGTAGGCAGCAGCAAAGATTCAACAATACAGCTGCAAAATTGACTGCATACATTTCAAACCTGCTAATAGCTACTGAGCGGGGTGAACAACAGAGTTTAACCTCACATTTATTAGTCAAAAACTAGCAAGAAGGGAAAGAGGGATAATTTCTTCTTTGGATTCTGTTATATTAATACTATATCCCTATTAGATTGACGGCGTAATTGTATTTCATCTAAGCTGCGAGGTATTTACGTGGGAAAAAGTGAAGCTATATGAGAGCTAAGATTTATCGACGCGACTCGAACAGTGTGCCCATTAGCCAGGCGGGCCAGCGTGTGGCTTCCTTACTTGGCTTGGTTGGCTGAAGCCTTTGCTTTGCTTGGTTTGTCACAGAAGGCCCTATTTGGTTGACATTACTTGATGATTATTAACAAATAGGCAACTCTATGGTAAAGTACAAGTCTGAAGCAGATGTTTTTGCCATTAACCGCTGCAACAGTGTCCGATTGGAGACGATTGTATTCATCAGTGATCACATTCTCTGTCTGTGAGAATACCCGCTCACATTTGGCGCTCATTACTGGACAACTGAATAAATCGGATGCCATTTTAGAGAGCTTAATATTCTTCCCTAGTGAGCCTGACGCTACAGTGGCAGCAAGTTGCTGAAGTCGCTTACGAGCCTGCTGGAGGGGGTCCAACGCTATGTCATTGTCGGCAATCACCTCCTCCTGAGGTTGCGTTACTCTCTGCAGCCGCTTCCTCGTACTGGGAGTACACCTCGCGTATCACTCTTTTTGCTTCACTATCCATTTATTTTTGTGACGCTATTCCAGCTCGAGGTATGCAAATTTGTTTGCAAGATGCAGCGCAACCGCACAGTAATGCGTCGGCGCGGTATTCATCAGGCTGAAATACTCTTAAAGCTTAATGTAGGCGAGGCCTTCAGCCTTGACGTCAAGTTCTCGCGATGCGTAAAGAAGCTCGCCTCCAACAGCTTTGGAACTTGCCCACGGCTCTGTGTGACGACTCTTGGAGCCATGTGGCTCACCGTGTGAAGTAGGGCATACCATTCTGGCCGCTCGGCCAGGCTATGGAGAAGGCTATGCGCCGTGATAAGGTTCGCCAGCGCTTGATTGTACGCGTCTTCATCAACAGAGGCGCGAAGATATCTCTCCCGCTCAACATCGTGTCCGTTTTGTCTCGCGGCTTGCTCTCTGAACAGTCTGTCAATTACGATTCCCTGCATAAGTTTCTTGGCTGACTGTTGCTCGGAAATCAGTACTCAGTACTTATCCCGGAGATGGCCCTGGACTCTGTTATGGGCGGCCTTGGAGTAGGAGCAACGCTTGCAATACCATGACTTCTGGCCGTGCTTGTTGCGTTCGGGCTCCTGGCGACTTGGCTGACGGCTTTCTTCCCAAATATCGAGCGCAGTAGGGGTACGGACATGTTTTCTATGCGCTAGAGGAGAGGAAGATTCTAAGAATGGGGAGGACTCCCCAGCGGTGTCTACGTCCTCGGCAGGCTTGTCTCCCAGCGCCAAATAGCCGTTATCGGCGGGACGGGCGAATAGATTCACATTAGCAGCCATGGTGCTAGTGTTGCAGTTAACCTACAACGACAAAGCATTGCTACCAGCAAGACAAGGAGGTCGTGTAATCACCAACCGCTAATTAATCGCCACGATTAATTACATCACTGGCCTGCGAAAGGCAATCCGACACGATACAGAATGTGCAGACGACCGGGTTCATCTATTGCTAGCAGAGAAATGTCCTTTATCACTAATGAGCAACCTGGATAGCCAGCAGCCGCGAACGACTTCAAGTTCTTCACGAGGGTAGACGTACCGCAGCCGTGACAGCTTCTCGGCGTTTCTTTTCTAGAAAGTATCCTCGAAATTTAAGCACAAATAGAGATCGCATTTTGCCATTTTTGAGCAAATATTCAAAGTTATACCTTCATAAAGAATGAAAGTTGTGTCCTGGTTCAAGTCAGGCTGAAGAGCCGTGACGGCGATGCTGAACCCCACGACAAGTTTTCTCAAGACCGTCTAAGGCAGAAACAAATGCCAACGTGCTAATTTCAGGTACAATTGAAAGAAGTGATTCGCATTCCACCCAGGAGTGACGCTCATACTCGCCAATGGGATAGCTTACTACATAGGTCATTGTTGGATGCCCTGGCGGGGATCGCTATCCACATCCCGGCACATGAGTACATGTATGTCTCTTCCCATAGGTATAGAACAACTCCAACGATGAGGCTGCGTCACGTGACATCAGGCTTTGTGTCTCCGTAACGCAACGCCCGCATCGTCCGATTTCAGAGCATCGGGCGACAAACGTTTGGCCAAAAATCAGCGTTGAATCGTTCAAGGCCCACCAGCTCATATGGAGGCCGGGAGCCAACCTTTGGAGGCCGGGCCGCGACAAACGGATCGGCAGTCCACTATACCATGCCAATTTTTTGCTCAACGCCGCTGCCGTAATGGCGCCAGCTGTCCATTCTCTCATGCGGCAAACGAAAACAAGAAGGTCGTTTGTGCTGAGCCGAAAAGCCCCAGTCGTCTCAGCGGTGCCACGCCGCAAGGAGACTCGCGCTCACGCATACCCTGCCGATTTTTTCTACGAGGAATGTGTGCGAAGAACGAAAAGTGTCCATTTGTACACGATATTTCACGGGATGTTGCAGACACTAAAGTGGAAGCGGAGGTATTTGGATGACTGGATGGGGTTGGTGGTATGACGAGTGCTGACTGGCGACTAGGAAGATTCACTACCCGAAAACTGGTGCCGGGAGCTTAAAGGCGCTCTGGTCCGCTTCGGAGATGGCGCCGTCGTCACCCAAGTTAGCTTTCCATCTGACTTTTCTGCAGTCCACATCAGTAACCTACCTCAATTTACAACTGCAAGCTCTGTTGTTACTCTACTCGCCTCATTTGACTTCGCCGTGCCTGAAGATTGCGTCCGCATATCCAGACCAGCAGACAGTTTGCATTGCAGCGCCGATGTAAGGGTCGAAGACCCTCAATTTTCCAAGCGTCTTTGTGAGCTACTAGCTTTGAAGAGGCATGATTCTCCCATAGCGGTTCCAATCAATGTCTCGATGCCTCAGACGACCAATCATCGTCGAGTCGATTCAAAGAAAGTATATTGCTCCTGGCACAAGCCAACCAAGACCGCTTGGCTGAACTTTGGCAACGGAGAAATAGCTGCAAAAGTTGGCTCGAATTTCTCTGCGGGAACATTCAAAATTCTCCACCAAAGCGTTCAGTGCGAGGGGCCAACGCGCGGCGCAGGCATTAAGAACCCATTGGCTTGGACCCTCAGACTTTCAGACGTTTCAAGGCTTGCTAAGAAGGATGATGTTATGAGAGCTATCCCTAGCGCAATGTCTCCACGCCATGTGGAACTGAGCGCTGCAAGCTATGACGCTGACCTACCCATGGCGAACGCATTGATCGAATCATTACTGCTCCAAGTTGGACCATTAGAGCGATGGGAAGGGAGCCTTGAGGTACCCGGGAAGCGCTTCAAGGCAAAGGCTTGGTTCACGAAGGATGCAGATGCGTTGCAAGCTGTCAAGCTGTTCCATAATGAACCTTTGTCGTTCAACAAAAATGGCAAGTTTACAGTACAACTTGTACACTCAGCAAGGTTCAAAATTCTGGCTCGCATCTATGACGCCGTTGAACAAGAGTTGACAGACCACAAGAAGACATGGGCGTCACAACATGTGCTCTATATCGCATATCCTCCTGCTCAGGGTCTCCAGGTCCTGAAAATTGAAGGAGAAAACGGCGGTGATGTCGCCAGGGCCAAGGCTACGCTGGAGAGGATAATCAGTGGAGAAGTGATGATGAAGAATGGAAAACCTATATGGGCCCCTTCCTTTGCAACCAACGGTTACGCTTATCAGAGAATGAAGCAGTTTGAGCGTGAGCTCGGTGTTGTCATCGTTCGCGACAAGCGCAAATCTCAGCTTCGACTCCTAGGTCCTCAACTGCAACGTGAAAAGGTGCAACTAGCCATCATTGAGCTTGCTAATGCGTATTCAAACTCTACCCACGTCATTGAGCTTGATGCGCAACAATTCTCCTGGGCTTTCAAAGGCGGTTACCGAGCCATAGTAGAGGCCATCGGGAATGACAAGGTTGTCTTGGACATCGCCTCTAATCCGCGTCGAATTCTTGTGGTGGGATCCAAGGCTGATTTTAGCATTGCGCGAGAGATCCTGCAATGTAAACAAGGAGTCTCGGGGGAAAAGCCAGAATCTGGCTCCATCAGTGACTGCGTCATTTGCTGGACACCGGCCGACAATCCGATACAGACGACTTGCAAGCACCTTTACTGCACTGGTTGCTTCGAGGATTTGTGCTTTGCTGCCGTCAACTCTGGTCCCAGTATCCGTTGTCAAGGTGATGCCGGCAATTGCAGCGAGGTTCTTCTCTTGACAGAGCTTCAAGCACACCTTTCATCAGCAGCCTTGGAAGACATATTAGAGGCCGCGTTTACAACACATGTAACACGCCATCCGAGTGATTTTCAATACTGCCCTACCCCAGACTGCGGGCAGATATATCGAGCGGCGAGACCAGCAGGAAACAACGGTAGGACAGCTGAAACCAGCGAATTTCCCATGTTCAAATGCCCTTCATGCCTTGTTGCCGTATGCACAGCCTGCAATGTCTCTCACGACGGTCTTACCTGTGCTGAGCACCGTGACCACTTATCTGGTGGTTACAAGGCACTACAGGCAGCTAAGAAGAAGCTTGGTATTAAGGATTGTCCCAATTGTAGCACAATGATCGAAAAGACGTTCGGCTGCAACCATATGACCTGCTCGGCTTGTGGAACGCATATTTGCTGGGTATGCTTGCAAACGTTTCCCGATGGAAAACAGGTGTATGACCATATGAGACACAAGCATGGTGGGATTGGGGTCCCGGAATATCGAGATTTGGTCTAGTAACAATTTGTTAAACTTAATAGCCTGAAACTGCTAGATTTACCTATTCGACTATTTTACTACAAGCTATAAATCTTTAGTTAAATTCCCACCAATTGACGTTGAATAGATAGCCAGTGCTACTGCCGGTATAGACGAAGAACAAATCCCGAACTCCTGTAGCGCCGCCTATAGAGCAAGTTATGGTAGTCCATGTTTGCCAGCCGCCGGTATTGCGGACAGCACAGGTACCGACCAGTGCCCCATGCAAGCTGTCCATATGCAACTCAATATTGCCACCACTGGTTGCAAAAGCGACACGGACGGAGAAAGACTTAGCACCATTAATAAAGTCAACGACTTCAAATGTAGTCGCCATTATCAATGTTCAGACGTCCAGACCACCCTCACTACAGACTTCAGTGGAAACGCCGGATAACCAAGCAATCAACTCTGCCTCTTAATGTTAGTAGGGGTTTAGAGTATCTATTCCTGGAGCGCCGGTAGTTATTATATTTATCTAGGGGATGGAGCCATCCGCATTATAGACAAATCATTCAACAGCCACAGACGGTGACAGACCGATTAAAGCCACCACTCCCAGGTAAAGCGCCATTATAATAAAAAAAAAATACATAAATTTCCCTTATAGTCAATTACGCCTGGGTGTTATAAAGCTTAGACCTTGACTTGGCATCAGAACGCCTCTATAGTCCACGGGCCCAGAGGACCTGGACTTGTTGAATAGCGAATATCCTCGGAGCAGCAGTCTGCAGCAAAAACGTTATAGCAAAAGCCATTTCACTTGTAGACGCAGGGAACCTCCTCGAAGAACTCTACCCCATGTTGTTTTATGGGGCTATGTAAATCTTCAATGAATTGTAGTAGAGTTCGTTGGTGCTTTGTACAATAGTAGGGCAGATTTTTACCTGCTATAAGCTAGGTAACTTTTGTGTTTTCTATATTAAATGCTTAACATGCTTGGTCTAGCTAACTTGCCAACCTAATAATAGGCTCTAGGGTTACCCGTTGACATGACTTTCAGTAAGCCAACTTTTCGGCTTCGCCTCAAAATTCGTCACTAGAAGTGGAACCAACGGGTATGTGGAACTCGCGAAAGTAAAATACCGCATACTAGGCCAATACGTGCCTTTTAGTGACGGCAAACCATGCCTTTCTTGCTTGGCATTCGATACTGTAAGTAACCTTAATGTTTCTCTAAATCCTGAAGGCGATCTTATAGTTGCTCCTAAAAGACAAGAAGCTTATTCATACATGAGTACAGAGCAAGCCTTACTATTTATGTTAAGGCTATACTACTTATAGCTATTTTGCTGTATATATCGCTTTTTCGGAGCGTTCCAGGCATTCCAGGACCAACTGTGAGTCACTATGAGTCAGAGCCTCAAGTGGTAGTTAAGGCCTAGCGTTACAGGGAGCGTTTAGGTAGTTCCTTAGGGGTTAGAACGGCTGTAGCCACTGAACATTAGAGCCATAGGTCTAGCCCAATACCCAAGAGTAAATCTACACTTACTATTTGGCCTATTCCTTTTCTTCGCCGCTCATCTTTTCCTGACAATTATCGCACTTCGCAAGCGTTACATCATCACTGCATTGTTTTCTCTCGCCGCCATGGAGAAACGCACTTCTTAGCTCCGCCCGACGACAATCTACTGTCTGCACCAACGCTTCGATCATCGTCCCATCACCATCATTTGTGTTGCTATCGACTTCGACCAGCATGGATGATCGAGTCGAAAACTTGGCCCTTCTTTAGTTCTCCTTGGCCTATATGCTGAGCAAAGTCCACCATTCCAGATGGCTACCCCATGTGGATAATGTGGGTCATATTGACATCGTCTATCAAACCATGAGAGAGATATTGAGCAAAGAACCGAAATACCCTCGAAATTCGGGGAGATTTGTGTTCCTGCCAAGCCGTAAAAGTAAAATCAAGACGCCATTGCTATGCCTGACTGTGTTTCTCTCGAAAATCTCAACGTGCATTTGGTATGGACTAAATCTTCAAACGAAGCAAGCAAAAACTTACTCATAACTCCGCTTCATTCGCGTTATATGTATGTACATCTCGCAACGGAATACTGGATTACTGGGAAAATCCCAAAAAAAAAACCAAAAAAACTAGAAAAAAAAATTGAAGACCAATCAGACGTATTTGTTAGGCTATTGCCGCCGACTTGTCAATGCCTTCGTATCTTGGCGCTCTTCGGGTGTCATCGGATTCAAGGTATTTTCGCGCTTTAAACCGTGCCAAAGTGCTGTTGAAGGATTTAGTCCGTTGGCCATGCATATGGGATGATAATGGTAGACTCTTTGTCTCTCTTATCAGTTCTAGAGATGACTGTCGGCTCTGACGTGCCTCGGCTGGTTTCGGCGTGGTCTTGTCATTCTTAGATGAAGTGCTTGATTGCTGCTGCTTCACAAATTGAACATCGTCATCGTCGTCAGTAGTCAAGATGGATTCTTCAAACTGGCTTCTATCGCGTCCCTTGACGACTTTCAACTCCACGACCAGTTTACTGACGCAGCCATTGCGTTTGGAGGCTAGAGAAGAATCGGTGAGTGTGATTTTGCCGGAATCAATATTTTCTTCCTCCGATAAGCAGCCAATGAATTGTGATTCTTCGAGCGCTTTAGAGGAAGCGACAGGTCGGATTCTGTTTTTCGTGATGGTAGGATTGGCGCTTGATGCATCTGATAAGCAGCTAATCAATTGAGGCCCTAAAAGTGCTTTGGACCTCTGTTCATTCAGCTGCTCATCTTCTACAATGTCCCGCCATTCTGGTTACTGTCTTTTAAGTTATCAGCCTCTGGTATAGATTCTGATGGGGATGGCTCAGCTCCTGATTTTGTTTTCCTTCCGGAGAATCGCTCGGGAATGAACCGGGCAATTTCGGTGCTGGAGATAGGGATGCTCCCGTTTTAGGCGGCGAGGATATTTGCGAACTTATTCGGTCATCGCCTTTCTCTTCGCTTTGAGGAGCTTCTTCTCCTCTCGCTGTTTTAAGAGAAATCTATCAGCATCATTACAGATAGCGGAATTCCAGAAGCCTTGACATTAACTGAAGATAGGACTGAAAGACATCTTTGGTAAGTTGGCTCATTCTTCTTAACTTAAACTAAAAGCTAATAAAATCCCACTAGGATATTCGTAGGTTATTTGCTATGGCAGCCTTTGCAGAAAGACTTCATATCCTACTCAGATGTACCTAAGAAGCTGAAGATTTTCGAGGAAAAACATGGACAAGAAGTAAGGTTTTGTGCTATTGTATCCTTTCCGGCGGCTGGAGCCCCAGAAAGCCAACAACCCTTTTCTATACAATATAACATATGCAGTATATCATGGACTATAATGCCACCTATGGACCCGAATGATAAATCGCCTTGGAAGTCGATAAATCACTTTAGCGCATTGCCATATGGATGGATTCCGGATGACAGTGTTGAGTTCTTTACATAGTTTATATTTAACCTAGAAAGAAGATGGCTGGATTCATGTGACTTAGCTAAGGAACACCTCGCTACTTGTGTAAGTTATCCCACCCTCCTACCAGCGTTATATGTATCTCAAGCTTTGTTTAATGGATTTAAAATGCAGCGCTTTGATCAACTACGTGAGAGAGGGAAGAGCTCTGAACTTATACACCGCCTTGCAGAAAACGCACAAACATGGGCTGAGCTCCGTAACGTCTTACGAGACCAAGGTCATACTGCTAGACAATTTGCGATTGAACATTGTCATCGTTATTACGGAGATAAGGGCTTAAAAGATGTGCGGGAGGTAGTAGATGGCTTTATTGCTAATACCTTCTTGACCAGCTGGATCAAACAGTAAGAGATTCATTGCAATTTGTCAGTATATTAGGCCTGTTTTTTTTTTCAATAACATATTTGGCTAATCTTATGTAGGAGTTTGCCTGGGTCTCAATTAATGAATCTCATAAGTCTATGAGCATTGCAGCAAGTACTAAGCGCCTTAGTTGGATTACTGTAAGGATTTGCTTGACTTATTTAACTTAGGCGGTACTAATATAAGTAGTTTATTTTCCTCCCAGCAATGTTTGCTTCAGTAAGGCATTATATTACTCTTGATTACATGCTTTTAGGTAGGAGAACTAATATAAGAACCGCAGAGTTTATTCGGCATGAACGTCAATATATTAAAAGATGATCCGGATTGGCGTTGGTATATTCTAGTTGTTGGAGCCTTTCTGATTCTTACTATAATCGGATGGATCATCTTTAAATATAATCCTGTTTGTGGTAATCCCCAATAAATCATTCTTTAATAGTCCTAACAGACCAATATGACAGCCGAAAGTTAGGTTGTGTTGCTTACTATAAGGGAAATAACTTTCACAGCTAAATTAAATATTAGCTGTTACAACATCCGAATTCTAGAACTCTAGGCCCTGCTAAGTAAAAACTTACCGCTGTCTTTATATATCCTAGCTTAGGTGCTACCTTATCACTTCTATATATTCAACCCCAAGTCCATGCAACGCACCCATTGGCTTGAAGTTATCTCCAAACGCTCTTCAACGAGATTCTCCCTGATAGCTGCCATTTCGTCGCGCTGCAGCTCTGTGGCAGCAGCAGCTCGGCTCCGTGCTAGGTAGTCCGGCAGCGGTTGGTTGTTTCCTTCTTCCTGCTCCTCAATATCCTCGCACACGAGCGTCTTAAGGAGCTTGACAGGTTTATTTTGGATGCGCTTATACTTAACTTTAAGAAGAAAGAAATATAAGCAGTAATAAAGCTAATGTCTTTTAACCTAGCCTTCCTGCTCCCTCTCACTGGATAAGAGACAAGCACCTGTCTACCCAACCCCTAACTATTGCTCTTAAATATAAACCAAATAAAACTCTGCGTATCTTTTATTTGATCCAGTAGGCCTTTGCGTAGTTTGTATAGATCTTCCGCTGGTTGCAACGTGGACTTGCTGACTTACGGCGTCGGCTGCTTACCCTGCACCTTAATCTATCCAAGAGTGTGCAGTATTCAGTTATTCACTCCCTTATGTTCTACCCATCTAGCTTAGTAATTTCCTTTTTTATTATTCTTTACTGCTGTATTCTCACTTACTTATTTTCTTGGCCATGTTGCTCACCCGAGAACCTCTCTTATCGTTGGTGCTGTCCCATGGGAATGCGCTCGGCCGCAGAAACTAAAGCATCTTGGTCACCATATAGGTCTTTCATTTGGAAAATTCAAAACTAAATCTATTATAGCAGGCTCCTTTTACACTTAGATTGCGTATTGTTTGTGAATGCTTTTATATTTTGGCTTTTCATTTAATGATGGCTTTACATTGATCAACCCATTTGGGGTCGTCACTCTGGAACACCTCTCTGATGAACTCTTTCGGCCTACTCATCAGACTTCGCAGCAGCCGTAACCGCGCCCGCAGCTTCTCCTCGCTGGCTATCTCTAGCATCTCTGACTTTGCGTTCGCTTCATTGCTCCTACTTTTAAGCCAGCCCATGGTCACGAGCATATTGTTCGTTATTCTGTATTGATCTGTACATTGACAAGTTGCGCGGTCAGCAGAGAGTCCGTCGATCAGTTGTTTCCTCTCACGTATAGTAAAGGTTGCGTAGGGGCCTGTGTCTCACCTGTTGCCTCGCGCACGTACTGCGTGCTATACATCGTCGCCTCCTCCATCTTCTTCTCCTGCGCCCCCTTGGCTTTCTTCCACACGAACTCGCCTGGCTCGAGGAACCACAGCATGCGTAGAGCGAGCAGAGCCACCCGCGTCCCCCCTCTCTTGTGCTTCACCCTGCTGTCGGCTATTGTAAATCCGGCGACTTCACCTTCGGCGTCTGCCTTGGGCATGTTGTACACTATCATGTCCGATGTCGTGCCCACCGTCAGCGCCAGCATGCAGAGGAGCTCAACCTGGGGCTTTCCCTGGTACGCTTCCAGCAGGCGATGCGCTTGCCTGTAGTGGTTGGTGAGCCCTGCCTTGGGCACCTTCATGTGCTTCGAATACTCCTGCAGCTGCTGAAATCCGCGTTCGAGCTCTGCCGGGAGACCGCCGCTGAGCGGGAACTGGCACCCGAAGTCGATGCGGCTCTCCTTGGTCCTGTGCCTCTTGCTCTCCCGCGCGATCTCCGCCATCACCGCGCTCCGCTTGAGGCTCCCCGGATGTAGGCTCATCGCCCAGCCGACCAGCGAGCTCTTCTCCTTCGACAGAAACACTCTCTCGGCAATTGTCGCCGTAATCGTTCCGCGGGAGTTCCCAAGAACCCATTCGACGCGGTTGCATCGCAGTGCCGACCCAATGTAGAACCGCCACCGCTCCGTTGACTTATCTGGCTTCTCCCTCTCGTATGTCTGCTTAAACAGAGAGCTCAGAACGGCGAGCCAAGTCATGTTCTTCGAGCTGAGAGTCTTGTCCATCACCATGTCGCTGCTTCTTTGGAGAGCCCCGAGTATGCGGTCAATGTATCTGTCCTGCTCTAGCTTATCGCTTGTGATCGCCTCCTTCGACCGGGCCGGCCTCTCGTCCAAGGCGTCGTTGATTGCCTCCACGATATTGCCGAACACCCTACAGAATCAGTCGCCAGTTAGCTTCTTATGTCTCTCTTTGCCGTTTACGGCTTGAGGTTTGCCGCTTGGCGTGGCAATGGAATTAGATGCTTGTAAAACGTATGTGTTACTTACTCGGAGCCAAATGCGGCTGTCCCATTCTGACCTGCGACCTCCCAGTCGTCGAGGCACAGCCGGGCCTTTCTCAGCTTTTCCCGCTGATCATCAGGAAGTGTGACGCTGCGTCCCCGCTTCTGGAGAAGCTTCCGGATCCTCCCCGAGAAGAACTGGCGCATCTCGGGCACGAAGTGAGTTCGAAAGACCTCCTCTATATACTCCGCCGCCGCATTGACGTCCCGCGACATCAGATGCACCCTGGCCTCGGACTCGCGACCGGCCGCCACTTGCTTCCCGTAGTGGTACTGCAGGGACGCAGCTTGCAGGAGGTGTACTCGGCGGTTCTGCACGCCCGGCCAGTTTTTCAGATTCATCCTGCCCTGGCCGGCCATGTTCAGCCTCCCCGGGTCGATGTAGGGGAAAGCATGGTTCTTGATGCTCTCCATCGTGCCCAGGTATCTAAACGTCGTGCTTGGGAGCACCCTCCTGTCGCCGGTGAAGCAGAAGCTCCCCAGTCGGTCAACCGCCGCCATCGCCTCTCCCAGCTCTACCGGGAGCCCTGTCTTTCCCCCGCGGTGGAACTGCGCGAGCATCGAGGCCGCGATGAGCTCGAAGAGCCTGGCGTATGCGCACAGCACTCCGGGAAACGCCTCCGTGTCAAACACCCTGAGCACCTGGGTGTACTCCTTCTGCGCCACGAGGAAGAAGCAGATCAGCTGCGTCATGGGCCTCAGCACCATGGGCATGGTGCGGTGCTCGGGGAGCAGCTGGGACACCGAGACGGTGACGACCTGCTCCATCCTAAAGGCGTATTCCCCCTCCTCGATGCACTGCTCGAGCCGGCTCGCTTCCCGCGCAAAAGGGATTGTGCGGAACCTGGCCTCTGGGCTGTTCTCACCCATCAGCTGGTCAAGCAGCCTCTGCTGCGTCCTCTTCGCCGCGGGCGTGACGCCCGGCCCCGCGGCGGGCAGGGCAAGCGCGGCGGTGGCAATCGCCTGGCTCGCGAGGAGATCTTGCGGGTTGAACCGCACCGTCTTCTTGATGTTCGAATAGGCTTGGAAGTAGCCGGCCGTGACTATGTCGGCGTTGTCGTTCTCGTAGCTCATATTGGAACACACCGTCCGCAGCGCGTTGTCTATAAAGTCCGGAGGCAGGCCGGATGTGAAGTTGCCGTGGCGGGGGTGGAAGCCCAGCGAATAGTGCGTGAGGCCCGCCAGCTTACGGTCTTTATACTGATCGTCGACCTCTTTAAAGTCCGCGAGCAGACAGCTCGGCTCCCCATTGCTGAGGCAGTTGATATCGGCGGCGAGGGCATAAGATATGCTGTCTATGGCGCTCAGGTTGAAGATGGCGTCTATCGTCGAGCCCAGCTGGCGTAGGCCGGGAGCGGTTTCGGCGTAATGTATCAGCCTCGCCGCTCCGCCGTCGGGGTCCCTCCCAGATTCTCCCCTTTCCTCGCGCTGGTTGGCCGGTGATGCGGCATCCGCACTCCCTCCCCTCTCCCTACCATGGTGCAAGTCCCCGCCTTCTCGCTGAGATTCAGCTAAACCGCTGCTGCGGGCGTTGGTTATATCATCTTGCATCCTTATGTCATCGTCACCATAGTTATCATCGCCGTTGTCCTCATTGTCGTCGGGCTCGTTATTATCGCCTTCGCCAGTGCCATCGCCGTCATCATCATCATCGTCATCATCATCATCGTCATCATCATCTCTCCGCGTCCTCTCCAGCTCTGGAATAGGCGGACCGTTACTGATGTCGATCAGAACGTTACCGCCGTACCCGTATGCGTGGAAGGCCAGCTGGGTTCCGGTCCAGAACCTATCACGAGAACTCATCTCCAGCGCCAGCTCGCCCCATCCAGACACGAGTGCCTTCTGCAAGGCCGCCCAGTCACCCAGTGAGATCTGCGCCGTCTCCTGGCTCCATAGGCGCCACGACTCCTCGATCCCCCTTCCCAAGATGGTGCTGCTGACGCACTTGTGGAAGTACTTGATAAGTATCTTCGCGCGCCAGCTCTTCAGTGCAGTTCCCTTTGGCACAGCCCGTTCCCCGGGCCCGGATACCCTTGCGTTTCGACGTTCTGGCCGGCCGCCTGGCAGATCTGGCCCGCTGCCTGACCCTTCCTCCTCCTCCTCCTCCTCCTCCTCACCCCTCCGATCGTCGCCAAATACCGCTCCCCTAGGATCAGGAGCAACGATAATAAACCACGTCATGCCCAAACCATCAGCTCCAATCTTAAATGTGCGTCCGGTCAAGCTAAAGGACAGGGCGGCCTTAAGATGTTTACTAGAGTAAGGAGCCGCCCAATCCTTGAAAGAGATGCCAATGGTAGAGAGTGGATGGCTATCAGTGGCTTTGGAGACGGCTTCATTAGGCTTCCCTAAAATGGCAAGGAAGTCGAGGAAGAAATTCGGCATCAGCTGATCACAGGCATCTCCGTAACTGCTATTGTTAACTTTCCTGGACTGGGCGGCGAAGTTGACGGAGTGCTGCTTCTGCATAAATTTAATTGCATCTGGGGCGCTGGATATCGTCTGCTCGACCCTCCGTCGGAACTTTGCGGCTATTGTATTGTATAATAATTGTCAGTTGGTTCTGAAACTGTTTTATTGGTTTCTTTGGGGATGCGGATGAGGTGGCAGAAACTCCTTACCATTAAAATGTGCACCTTCAGTACGCATCAGGTTATATGATGGCGCGCTCGCCGAGGCTCTTGTTGCTTCCTTAGGAGGCTCTTCTTCTTCGGCGTCTTCACTAGCTATTGCGTTATAGCTACTGACTTGGTCGTCGCCCTCTTGGTCCTCGCCGCCATTGCTGCTACGCGGCTCTCCTGCATCAAAATGGCTGCCCTCTCCTGCTGGCAGCTGAGAGAAGCGGTTCTCTGTGCGGAAGAACCCGTCTGCTGCGACAGCCCGTTGCTCGGCCTGGGCGTTTGAGGGCGGTGACAAGTCAGCCTCCTGGCCCATGATGAATAGGGGGCCCTCAGCACTTTAACGGCCTTCTTCTGGAATCTCTTCGGGGCCTTCTGAGTTGCGGGTAGAATCTCTCGAGCTTATAAGTTCAAGCTCATTGCTCGTTCTCCATCCGCTATCTGAGTTTATATAAGCACTGATAGACGGGGCTAAGCTGCGGCGTCTGGGAGGGCTGGAAAGCGTTGTAGCGATAGGGAGACTTGTCTCTTTTAAAGATTCCATTTTCAATAGTTGCTATCAGAGACTGTAGACAAGCTGTCTAGCTTGTGTTAAAGAGTTTCTCATGAATTTATTAGTAAGAGCTACTCATGTTTAAATAGTGTTCTTTGAAGTAAGTGTTCCTTCTCCAGTTCTATTCACCGTCACATATGCACATACACATGCCATGCTCTCTCTCCTCTCTCGCTCTCTCTTCTCTACCTCTCTACATCAACTGCATTTCTCTCACAGACCTATCAAGTGCTTGCTAACCAGCATCGCCGCCGTTATCTCTGTCCCTTTTCCTCTAAGCGGGCCCCTACGGACCTAACCCCTACAAACATCACCCGACCCTACCCATCGGTCGGGCCTGTTGAGGTTTCGCCCTCGTCTACTGTGACGCATCGCATACTGGCAAGTTTTCATTGGCTGCTGCAAATGCCGGTCTAATCCTAAGCGCTTGAGACCCGGTCGAGTCCGTCTATGCGTACATATATATTGTTGGCGTTATTACATGTACTACCTTGCAACGGGCCCGTTAGTGGCCCAGGCAGGCAGCTTCTTTCTTAGAGCCTTTGCTGGTGTTTATGTTGCCGGGGCCTTTGTCGTCGTGGCCCTCGGAACTGCCATGTTAAAGTGGGTCCTGGCAGGGCTCCGGATTGCTTCTGTTCTGATATTTCTGAGCGGTGGTAGGACCACAAGCTCGTCAAGATCCCCACCGTCATCTAGCGAGGACGAGGTGCGAATGCGTGTTGCGTAGTGGTCGGCGTGGGGAATCTTATACATCTCCAGTGGATGTGGATTAGACCTGATGCTTCCTCTGGGGGAGGGCTCCTGTGGCCGTAGGATGAGAGGATTCAAGATGGCCGCCGGGGTGGGTTCGGCCTGCGGTGACGACTGAATGTTTCCCAGGCCGCTCTCCTTGCCGCTGGCCCCTACTCCGCCTCCGCTGTCATTCACGTCGATGTCCATGATCACGTCTCTGTCTCTAGACGTAGCCGGCTCTCTGTTCTCACCAAGGCGCCAATCCCCTGGCTTTCCGGACGGTTGACGCGATCTGCTTGAATTGCGTGTGTTGCCCCCCTCCTCCGCAACCCAATTCTCGATCGTCTGCTCCAGCATGTGCTTGAGCCTTGTGAACGCCGCCGGTTCTTTCGCCCAGGCATTCCGGCTGATCTCTTGAATGCTGGACATCTGCTCGACCAGCGTCGACACTCCCTTCTCAATGGTAATCTCTTGACCCTCGACGCCCGCGTCGCCAGCGTCATGGCCCTGTTGTTGCTGACGACTGGCCATCCATCCAGGGCGAATACCGGGGCCCAGGCTGCGCCGGACGGTTTCCAACATGCCTCGCCACAAGCTATTATTATTGAACCGGCTGTCGTAAGCCGCGCTGCCGGCTTCGTCTCCCGTCGGCAACTCTCCGAGGGTCGAGCCACTGATTAGGCAATCTAGGTCATCCCGTCGGCTCAGCGCGAGTTCGAGGACGTCTCGTTCCAGTCCGATGGACATTTGCGCGATGTCGGCAGCGGCGGCGCCGCTATGAGCATCCCTGAACGCCGGTTCTAGGTCCTTGCAGAGGGGCGGCTTGTTATTGCCGGTACGTTTGACGTCGGATGGGCGGGGGTTCACCCAGGCCACGACGTGGCTCATGATTTGGCTGAGCGCCTTCCCATCGGTCTTCCTGATCTCGAGCGTCGGCTTCAAATGAACGAATGGGGGCCGGCCGGCCCTCTTGATGCCTTCCACAAGCTGCAGGAGCTGTTCGTCGCTGAGCCCAGCCAGAAGGAAACCTTCATTGCCCGGCGGCCTGCCCTTCTTCTGCCTCTCTGGCACCCCAGCCTCTGCCTCGGCCTCTACCGCGGCCGTGAGAACTTCCTCCCCTTGCCGGGAGAGGACGCGACCAACTTCGGCCTCAGTGTAGCCATGAGGTAGCAGGTTTGCAAGTGCCTCCCAGTCATCTAGAAGGATGACATCTGACGGCACCCAGTCACCGTGGCACGCATCAACCTCCCGGTCAAGGCAAGCCAGCGTATCGAGCACCGGTTGGAACCGCGATATCCAAAACTGCAAAACAAGTCAGCATCGAAACCGGTGTGGAACGTATGCCTTGCAAAGAGTCCACGCTTCTGGCCTTAAGCAGAGAATGATACTCGGTTGGAGGGCCTTGACCTACATGGTCGAGCCGTTGGCTCATGATGTTGATCCACTTTGAGGCATTGAAAGTCTCTTTGCCAATGGCTGTCCTGCACCACGACGTGGTAAAAGGGCTCCACAGTTCATTCCTTATGATAACTGACAGGCGGCGAGGTAGCCTGGTCGCATTTTCCCCATCCAGCTGGAGGGCAGCCCCGAGCTTCTTGATGATATTATGTGTATCTTCCTCATTGATAATATTGCTGCTTGGGTTGCTGCGAATTGCCATCAACTGCATCCATATCTGGCCATCTCGATCAGCCAGCTTTAACTCTTGCCTATTCATACAGAGCCGGAGCCGTATATGACTTGGAAGCGTGTCTATAAAGGTATTTAGAGACTTGTTATTATATAGACCACCTTATAGGGTAGGGCATAGCCGGGAGCATTCCACGACTTCATACCTTTATTGTAGATCTCACAAGTCCACC